ATTGTCTCATCCATTGTAAGTAGTTGTTTTGTAAACAAAAGGTTTTTTTCAAAACTTGTTACTGAGGTGTTTGTTGTGCAGAAAGGTGTTCCCTCTCCTTGGAAGATGTGTGTGAATTTCTGACCAACTCGGCATAGCTAACGGGATTTATGGTGTTCTAGACTGTTCTGTACTCTTCCTTTCACTACCCTTTGTGTTTTAAACAGAGCTGTTGTCAGGTTTAAGTTGGTTATTTGGGTGCACTAACAACTGTTTGAATGCTTAAACCCATCGTTCCATTGCAGTGGCTGATTTCATTAATCATTAGCTTAAAGTTATTCGAATTTGAATCTAAGAGCAGCTTACAGTTTTGTGGCTATAAGGTAGATTATTATAGAGCCCAAATTTCAAGATAATTGGATAATTTTTTGCTTCAGTTAATGTCCTAGCACTCTCTTATGCTGTATAAACATTTTCGTGATGTTTAAATTTGGTGTGTTTCTGAGCAGAAATAAAATCATCTGTAGTTGCTTGCCGGTTGGGTTGGGATCCTGTTACCTGCTCTTACTTTCCTTGATCCCATAAGGCTGGCTGTCATTGTTCTTCTCTTAACTCTCGTTGCTTTCCAGTTTCTTCTCCTTCCTTCATCGGTCTGTCAGTATATGCTTGAAACTCTCTTGCGAAGAGGATGGATTTCATGTTTGTTTTGCGGATTCGGGTGGTATTGCAAGCTGGATAAGATGAAAACTATTTGTATTTCCACCCTTTCTGTTTATAGTTGCACTTACAGCAACCTCACCTGTACTTCAGCTCTGGTTTAAGGTCGAGGAAATAAAACAGCATTCATCTTTTTCATCACTGCGTCATCTCTTCTCTCCGTGGAAAACTCATCTTATTTGCAATGCTCCATTCTCTTGTAGTATTTGAATTGTCTTTCTGTAAAAATGTATGTACTTTCTGAAATATGATTGTAGGGGTTTTGCATTGTGGTTTGTTTTGTTTTGTTCTCTGCATGATCCGCAGCTGAAGTTCTTGTCTGTACTCTGGGTGGTTTTTTAAACTTCATCCTGTTTTTCCTTGGGTTTCCCAATAGGCTTCCAAATACAGGTCCCCAACCTGTTGGGTTTTGTGGTATATTGTTTCCCTTCTCTGACTCACATGGATATTTCAGTGATTTGACTTAATCATTCATCATTTTTTATGAATCTCTGCCTGTATTTTAATTTATTTTCTCTCCAACTTCTACTTACACTTCTTGTTCCACTTTGGATATCTGTCCTATCACGCGTCTCTCTAAGCGCAGATTGTTTGCAGCGGTCGGCTGTTCTTGCATTAGCCTCCCAATTGGCGTATCGCTTTGGCACGGCAGTTTTACTTGATTGTAGCTGCAGCGTGGGATTTGTTACCAGTGTTTATTTGAACAAGAGAAATAAAGCGGTCCCGTGTATTTAAGAGGCTCTGAAGTTGTTCTGTTGACTTGGAAGTGAGAGCATACGGTGAAAGGTTTAAAAGTAAAAAAGGACTTAGATACAGCCTGCATATTAAATTCACAAGTGAATATGCAGGTTTTTTCAGCAATGTTGAGCTTTCTTTACTGTATCACCTCTACATAGAGGTTCCTTGGGGCGTTAGCCAAGTGTGTATTGTGTGTATTTAACAACCTTGCTTTCCGTACGCTTTGCAACTATCCTGCGTGTGTGTGTGGAGGAAATCCTTTTAGAGCCTGCCTCACCTTCATAAATTGCTGGGTGACACAAAAGGGCTGAACACTGTCTTCCTGCCTCATTTATTTTGAAAACTTTGCTACTGAAACCAAACTTAATCAATGAGCTCTGTGTTGTCTCCGATAAGTTATGTACTGGCTTTATTGATTGGGAAGGATTTTAGAAAACCCATGTGGGGTTTATAATGTCAGCAGTGTTTTGATTATGAAAAGAGTTGGAACCTTGGGACAGGGAACCAGGTGGTGTATGTCCTAAAGCCACTGGTGACACGGCTGGGCTGAATCCCTCAAGGGACACAGTTCATGCCCTGCACTTTAACTGTGGTGACTGGCTGCTATAGATGCACTTCTTGCTCATTAAAATGTTAAAAATCAAACTGCATGTAAAAAGATTTGTGAAAATATAAACTTGGGGATTGATCCAGAAAACTGGCATGTGATACCCTAGAGACACTGGTTTCAGCTACTGGGTAATTTATACTCATCAGCTGTGTGTCCTGGATTGTTTTAGGGTTTTTTTCTTTCCTTCTTCTTTTTAGGGGGGTTTTGCTTTAGTGGCATTTATGCAGGTTTTTCTTTAAGAAAATAGGCATAAGGGAATAAAATAAGAAAACAGGCTATTGATACTACCTCTGTGTTTCATGTCAGGTAAAAACATAAAAAGGATTATAGGATGCTGAGATAGAGTGATTCCAGGTCTGAGGTTGTTATGGTCTTTGTTTGAAATGCTAAAGAAATGATGATTTTTCTAGGCTGTAAGTAGCCACTCGCCTAAAGAGGTCTGGTGGGAAGTTGTACGTTATGTAGGCATTGCTAATCTTTCAAACTGAGCAGTATTTAAAGGGGGGGGGAGCATTATATTTGTAGTAACAGGCTTGCAACTTGAGCAAAAATGTAGTTCTCCCGTAATTGTATTTCTTACGTGCAGAAGATCAGCAGTTTTGCTAATTAAAAACTAATCCTGTATATGAGTTTAATATTTTTTTTAATAGTTAAAAGTATGCCTGTAGCTAACCTGTAGAAGTTTCAGGTTTTTTAGTGTAAATCAAGGCAGATAAGTAATGGTGTATAATGAATGGCAAATTATGTCCAATAACACTATAAAAGCCACGTAATATTATCACTGTAAAACCTTTCTTTAAGAGACAAGGCAATGCACAGTGGTACAAATTCAACATATTGCCCCTTTTAAGTGAAAATTTCGTTTTCTGTGTTTAGGAAACTATAAATCTCAAGAAACAAGTGCAATGCAAGTTCTGAGTTATACACGCATCCACAATGCTGACGAGATGATAAAGCGTATTCATATGTCAATGTTTTTATGTGCAGTTACAGTAATTATTGAAGTCATCAAAATAATGACGAGAATATATTCTGCCATGTTGAGGGGACTAACTTTTTATCTTTTAACACTTTTATTTCAGAATTCTATGTAGCAGCTACATGGCTTTGTTTCTAAAAAATAGATGTGCAGTCATTGTTTTGAGGACAGTTTGTGTTGATAAGGCCAATAAAAATATAGGCACTTCCCTCTCCTGCAATTATAATTTTGATTATTTTAAAGTTCGGGGGGGGAGAGTTGATTATTTGTTTTGGTTTTAGCATTTTATACGTTAAGATTTCAGTTGTGGGTAAAGGACAACTGTGTAATAGCTAGAATTTGTCAAGGTGTAGCTTTGTGCACAAGCAGAGTTGTTCAGCAGACAGTCGATCCTGGTGGAAGTCAGGGAGATTCTGCACAAGGGTGAACCCAGTTGCATTAATGAGACCTTAACTATCAAGGCATTATTTTGTATCAAAATACGTATTTCTGCAGAGTTTACTCTGAAACCTCTATAGCTGCTTTCCAGCTTCCCTGCTGAAATTGAGAGGAGGATGCTTCTTTGCTTTACATGGCATTCTTCAATAGAGCCTTTCTTGTTCTTTAAGAACAGGAGGTTGTTAAATAATCTATCAATAACTGTCAAGAAGTCAAAGTTTCCATATCTGTTTCTGCCTGAAATGTTAAGAACTTGCCACATTTTAGTTGTCAAGAAACCCCCAAAGAAGAGTCTATGAGCAGTTGAGCCTGAAACCATTGCTAAGAATGGGATGTGCTTGTTTGAATTATGTAGGAGGAACATGTTCTTGCAAGGGACTCAATATGTTTTCTGCTTCATTGAATAGGTTATTAGATTGATGTAGTTTATTTGTTGAATGGTGGCATTGGTTTTAGAAATAAATGAAGCAAGAAGCATCAATTTAGTTATTGATGATAATTTATTGCTATTGGTCAGAGAAGTGTTGAATTTATCAGAGGGTTTGTCTTTTAGTCAGGATTATCTTGTTTCAGCTGAAAGCAGAAATATAGTTTATGTTTTGGGTCCTGAAATATTTAAGTGTGAAGGAGAATGAACAATGAATTGGCTGGTAGTAAAGGTCTGGAAACTAGGTGGACCTTTGTGATGGGTTGTGGATTATAGAATTCAAATTTTGGATATTATAGAAGAATAGGATGTAAGTGCATTACTTTTGTCTATGAACACAAGTATTTTGGGACTAACATGTTTCTGGTTTTGCCTCTTAAATGACTGTATTTGTTTAAAATTGTAAAGTTGGGGATGATTAATTTCTCTGCTAACTGTGTTTTCAGTTTTCACATTCATGCTTTTTATTTGATATCATGCAAAGGCTATACTTAAAAGTTTCTCTGTGGTGCTGTTTGTGGCTTTTAGAAAATGGTTTAACAATTTGTATGAATTTTAATACACATTGTTTTAGGCAGTCTTTTAACACTCAGATTTTCTTTCTAATAGCAGTAGGCACTGTTAAACATTCCTGAGGCTTTATCTTTTGTTATTTATCTTGCTGATGTTAGGAAGTATTCTCTAATCCCCCAGACCTCTGTTCCTAGGTAACAGTCAAAAGCTGTGCCAGCAGAAGTGGTCCTGCCAGGCCAAGCCCATGTGATTTGGTGTTATTCACTATGATCCATATGGTCAGGGTAGAGACTGTCCCTAGAGAGGTGTTAACACTCAACAACCCAACCTCCTCCTACTCTTTGGAGAATTGCTGGATGGCTCCTGCTGCCTGCCCATGTGTGAATCTTGATTAATTTTTCATTTTTAATGAAGTTTGATCATGTTTATTATTTCACATGATTGACTGCCTGGTACTCCTTCCATGTAATTGATAAAGCCCATATTTCTTCATCTGTCTCTTATTTCTTCAGGGCAAAGTTGTGAAATTGTGTGATGTGGTTAATATTAGATTTATTGGTCCCAATAGATGTATAAATTATCTCTTTTTCTCTCCACAGGAAGTTCTACAGACTTTGACCAAGTTTTGTTTCCCCTTCTGTGTGGACAGGTAGTGTTAGCTTTTCAAACTTTACAAGAAAATAAGCTTGTCAATAAAACCACTGTAGAAAATAAAAACCATACCATTCTTAATGTTCTGTCTGCCTCAGTGTGATTTAAAGCACCCAAGTGCAAATTATAGTCTTAGAATCACTTTTTCCTGGGGTTTTTATGGGCACCATCAAAAAAAAAAAAGTTTTAAAAGTTTGAGCTGTTCAGTGGCAGCAGTAAGAGTGCATTTTGTTTTACTTCTGTGTAACGCTTGGATGTGAAAATGCCTGGGTAGTAATTGTCAAATATGCGTATTAATATCAAAGCTTTGTGTGCATATGTATTTTATTTGTTAATTGCCAAAATTTGGGCACAACATTGAATTAAGTGCTTTACATTTAACGTTCTCTTGATCTTGCTGGAATGCTGGTGCTTTATTTGGTGGCTATTAATGTGGCTTCTAGGTTTTTGGGAAAAAATTGCAGCATGAGTTACAGTGGATTTGACGGGAAATGAGAATATTTAATTCTTGTAATTCAGAAGACTCCAGTCCTTTTTTGGTTTTTTTATTTTTGGTTTTACTGTGAGTTATTTTTGATGATTTCATGAAAAGAACAAGCATTGAAATTTTGAAAGGGTGCACCACTGCTCATATCAGCTCTGAGCATCATTTAATTGGTTAGAATCGCTTGTCTTAGCTCAGCTAACACACCGAATGGGTTTGATTGACGAAATTAACCCTAACTGTGACTAAACTGCTAGAAATCTTTTTCTCATTTCAGTGAAATCTGTGATATTTACAGTAGGAATTGATTTCCTTTATAAATCAACATCCGTTTCTAATACCACTTCTTCTCTGAGCCATTGTTAAATCTCTAAAAAAAATTTTTTTTTCCATTTTTTCCCCCCACCCATAGGCCAGCTGGTATTTCTTAGTTATATTGAAATACTGTTCACTACTTTCTGTGAATGGAGATGAAATCTCACTATGCTTCTCTGGAGATAGGAGCCTACATAATAAACCCACTGCTATGCTTTGTCCTCCGATGTGGTAATCTGGGGTTGGAGGAGGCTGAAAGCTTGAATGGATCATGCAGACGATGTGTTCTTTCAACCCTCCAGGTGGTTCCTGCAGATCAGGGTTGAGAGACATTGGTGAGGCACTGCTGGAGACAGCTATTATTACCAGTGCCTCTGCTGTACCCGATTTGTACATAAAAAGAGAATTTGAATATCCTGGGCTGTCAACATGAGCTACTTAACCAGTGCTTGTTGACTCAGATGACCTTTAAAAGCCACAAATACTTCTTATAACTTGGAATCACTTTTTGGTGATCATCTTTTTGCTTTCCTAAGCAAAGGGAGCAGGGAAGTACTTACATGTATTTTTCTCATGTATGTGTTTCTACTAGAAATATTTATGCTTACGATGTGTAGGTTTATTGTACCTAGGGGTTTTGTTTGTTTTGTTGTTTTTTTGATTTATCCAGCAATATAGCGCTTTGAAAGATAAGAACACTGAAAACCCATATGGGGTGCAAATGAGAACATAATGAAAAGTAATTCCCATTTCTGGATTCGCTTGTTTGACTGAATATCACAGACTGTCACTGAAAAGACTGTAAGCCAACCATTTTGAACATAAAGGAGAGATTGTAACCCATAACATGCTTAATAATTTAAAATTAAGAATGGACTTTCAATACTCCAGAAGGTGGAGGATGTCCCAAGTTAAGGATATGGCAGTGAAAAGAGATGTGTGTGCTGCTTCTCTTCGTGATGTAGAAGCACACACACCTGCGCGCGCATGCATAGGTGTGTGATACAGTGCACCTTGAGTGCAAAATGTTCTTCATCTTTTAGCTACTTTCAGGTTTAGAACCGAACGAATACCTGTTCTTAGAGGCTGTTTCTGGAACTCAACAAGTGACAAATTTGCACTAGTTGGTCTTTTTCTTCCCTGTTTACTTTTAACCAACTACTGGATATATATTTATATTTATTTCTTGTATTGCATTTAAAGTAAAGTTATCAAAGTAGTGAGCAGGTAGCCCCATAATGAAATTGCTTCAGATAATGCTTTAATGTTTCCCTCAGTCTCCTCAGTAAACACTTTTTCTACTTCGAGATGAAAAGGAATTGCTTCTAGAAGAAATACCGTCTTCAGTTACATGTCAGAAAGGCCCTTACAGTCATGTCTTACAGAGTTGACTAGCACTCTCTAGTGGGATTTTATCCCTCTGTACGTGCCTGAAAAGTGGTGTGTTGGATCAGATCTCCAGTTACTACAATTCTTAGTCCTCAGGGTGGGTTTTTTATATATATAACGTTTTGTTCATTCTGAACGAAAAGACAGAGACCCTGAAGTGGTTTCAGTAAAGGCCTTCCAAATATGTAGGTACTGTTCCCAGTTAACTAGGTTGCCTTGTTGTTTGCAGTGACAATTTTAGTATGAGAATCTGTCCACAATGTTGAGAGGTTTTAAAGTTGTTGTTCTCTGTATAACAGTGGAGGTGCTGGCTCATTGTTCAAATAACTTAGGAACATGGGATGATACCTTCTGTTGGAATAATACTGTGTGTAGGGTGTCTCTTCAGGATCTGTGGAAAAATGATCAGTATGAATTATGAAGAGATGCTGATACAAATGATCAGAAATGCGTAGTCACTAAAGAATAGATGCTACTTTTCCTTTCACCAACTCAGAGCCCAAAGTAGCATTATCAGTCATAGAACTTAGGTTTTCAAGTCCTGCTGGAGTCATGTCCCCAGTTTATACCCTGTTTGTGAGGACTTTTACTTGGGGAAATTTAATTTACGTAACTACATTCTGCGTTACGTGCAGTATCATGCCAGGCTTTCACTGGAAACTTCTTGATGGTAGAAGTGTTCTCAATGGAGCTTGAGTTGAGTCTTGCTTTTCTGACTTTGATGTTAAACAGTGATATTTCTTTAACAAGTGCTGAGAAAGGGCGTGGGTCTTCACCTACTGTGTGTCTTTTCTAAAACTGCGTGTTTCCTAAAGCAGGTGGCAAGAGCTGAGGAGGTACTATTGCCTCTGCCAGATCACAACTTCCAACGATGATAGGACGCCAAGATTTTGAGGCAAATGGCGATCTGGTGCCTATCTGTTTGTTCTCTGTGCTGAAGGCTTTGCACTCATTGGCACAGACTCTGAATTGGTTTTATATTGATTCTTTTTAGGTATCTTGTTGCCAGTGGTCAAAAATCACCAGGGACTAATTGCCCCTTCGTTTGGGCAGTGGATGATGAATTTCTACTCTTGCGGCTGCAGGATCAAGGCAGAGGCTATTCTCCAGCTGCAGGAGTGAAGAACTCCAGTCAAATTCCATCAGGGTTAACTTGTGTCAGTCAGATATAGCTACTGATGGGGGATTTTTAAGAAATTGCTCTTCCTCTCTCCCCTTCCTTCCAACCCCAACTTGTGTCTGCCCATTTAGACATGAGATTTATGGTGCTTCCATCCTGTTAGGCTCTAAATAGACCTTCTTCCCACTTGAAAACAGAGCTATGAATCTTATACAGTGATATTAAGATCTTAGGAAGAACACTTTTTATGTTGGGAGAAACTGAAACCTGAGCAAGATCTATCAGACAGGTTTAATTTCTGCAGATCACATAAATGCAGGAATCTTTAGATTTACTTTGGAGGAACTTACCAACTTGTCACAATTGTTTAATAAACAAGCTTCTCCCTGCTGCAAGTGAAGCATATTTTTTTTCCCCTGTTCCATAATTTTAATTGTCAGCTAGAATGCTATGTCTCACACACACTCTGCTCTCAACCTTGTTAAAATTAAGCATATAATCCCCTTTTAAAACACCATACTAAAATCACCATAGTAACATGGCATCCAAGCTTTACAGCTAAAACACAACACCGGTAAGGGATTTTTTGGTATCCCCTAGCAGCTCAGTATGGTTTATGGAAATGGTTTCTCTGTTGACATTGATATTTTGGTAGGATGATAGTACTTACACTGTCTAATTCTCAGACTACTGAAATGCTTTTAAATACCTGCCTTTTTGTTCATCTGTGAATTTGGAACACTTTTTGTCTTCGTCACTGATGTTCATCCTTCCCTGTTTGGAATCCACTGAAGGGTTCCTCTTTGTAAGCTGGACAGTGACACCTTTCTGATCTGGATCCAACTTTTATTTCTGAAAGTCTATTTTTCTCTTTTTATTTTTCCTCTAGGCACCGAATGTATAGTCTCCCACAGAAATTGTTTATTGAATTGTATGTGGCATCATAGAAGAGAATATTTGCTCACTTTTAAAGCTTGTGACTGTTGGTTAAATGGCCTTGAATTTAATGGATTTTAGTGTTGCTGTTGGTAGGACTGACTTGTAAAGACTTGTTAATTTCTCAGAAAAACTCTGCTGAAATGTTATAGGTTCAATGACTTAGACTAGATGTTTTTGACACAGTTAGCTCAGCATTAATTTTTTCCTCTTACTCTTTTTATTTTCAGCCATGCAGTTAACCAAGTTGGGCAGAACTTTACATTTGTGCTTACAGACATTGACAGCAAACAGAGGTTTGGATTCTGTCGCTTATCTTCTGGGGCCAAGAGCTGCTTCTGTATCTTAAGGTAGGTCTGTGATTTGGCTTTTGGCTGACTCTAGGAAACAGTGTTTGACTTTGCTGTGTTACACTGCAGTTATAATTTCCAGCTGTTCAAAATTATTTTCGTATCTGGTCCTCAAAGTCACTGCTCTTCTGCAGAAGTGATGCAAATATCTTGCACTTTGAGTTCCTCTGTAGATAACTGTGTTTGTTTGTAGTCAATGTTCTTGAGTTAACAATGTGGGAAAAAAAAAAGTCTCTTTGCAGTAATTTGATATGACATAGCATGATGGCAGCTGTTATCTTTAGCTGTCACAACTGATCTCGTTAAGACATTTTGTGGACATTTGTGTACGCAAGTTTTATTAACAAAGCATCTGTTGGTAACTGAGAGAATGTCACTGATGGCCTACACATCCTAAAATTTCATACGTATGAGTTTTACTCTGTCCCATTGAGGGTTTTGTGAAGTTTGTCATAATAAAGACTGTTAGTGGAAGTTGGGAACAATGCATTTCACATAAAAAGGGACAAAGAGGCTCTATCAGAGTAGTTTTTTTATGACCTCCCACAGCCATGTTGGAATGCAGCCTGTAATTTTATATTTACATCTTGCAAGAAATGACGCAAGTAAAATCAGTTTTAATATCTACCAATAAATTAGTTCCATTAAGAACTTCTGTGGATTGAAGATTTCCACGTGGCATCCAGCCTGTCTTGTTCTAAACAAAGTTGAGAATGGTCTGTCTTCTACTTTTTGCTTTTTGCATGTTCATGAGAAATCGAAAGTTTCAGAGCAATGGCCCAGATAAAGATAGCTCAGAGTTAACTGTACAAACAGCCAGCTAGGTGACTGAACAATTGCTCAAGCAACCACAAATGGAGACAATTTCCTCTATGAGCAATTGTAGACTCCTGTCTCGGTCGTCTCTGGTTTGCTTTGCATGTGAGAAAATCCAGTGTAAGAATAAGAGGAACTTGTCTTCGTCCTCCCAGTGCTGTGTGTTGCATGTGACAGAACGGGACCCTCTGTATACATGTTATTGAATGTGACCCCTTGGGAGAATTTCAGGGATAATGTTGCAAGATACAGGAGCACCTATCAAGTACAAGGACACTTCTCGTTTCATTGAGTTGCGTATAACAATGCCGTGGGAGAGATTTTGGATTGATGTGTGAATTTGAAATCAATGTGTGTGCCATTTGTGCTGGCACAAGAGTGGTGAAGATACCAAATGTCTGTTGCTTTATACTTCAGCGTTACACTGATGATAGTGATCTGCTAACTGGACCTTCACTGAAGAAGCTTAGTATTTGGAGAAATTATTGTGAAATCTACCAAAATTACTAAGTGATTGTGTGGGAGGCAGGGTGACAGGTGTTTTCTGAATATCTTCCTTCGTTCTTTCTTTTCTCTAGTTCAACTAGTCCTAGCTCTGGCAATCCAGCAGCATGGACTGTACACTGAAGACAGGAAGGTATTTCCCTAGCTCTTGCCCTGTAGCTGCTACCCCATGTAGTTGGGGTGCTGAGGCACTCTCATGTGGGAAGTGTCTGCTTACATAAGGTAACTTTTCCTGAATAATGACAAATTAAAGGCAAAACACAGTTTAAAAAGAAAATCTGAATGAGGAGTAGTGTGAGTCCCTTCTTGATCTCTCCTGGATAAGAGTTCTTTGCTGTCAGCTCCCTTATGTTGAATGAATGCCCAGAAGAAATGGAGGAGTTATGTTGTAGTTAAATGCCTTCTGCTTCAACTCATAACCAAAAAAAAAAAGATTTCCAGTGCAGTCACAGCAGTGGCTGAATTGGGACTCTTAGCTTCATTCCTGTTGCTTCTTTCTTCTGTGCTGCACTAATGAGAAAATGAAAATTCATCATAGTTACAAGTGAATATAAGTTTTAGAGGCTAATAAAGAGTGTAAATCAGTGTTACACAGATTCATGTGCTCTGTTCCCAGGCCTGCAGCATCCATGGTTAATGTGAATCTTCTCAGTGTCCTTAATGCATTAAAGGATGCTGCATAGCAAATGAATGGGTAAAAACATGCTGAGGAATGTGAGAATGATCTCAAAAAAAGCAAATGGGGGTGAAAAGAATGCTTGTTTGTGGTTAAATTACAAGTTGGATGGCAGCAAGCTTCAAGTATTCCTTGATGTGCTCAGCGATAGTGTAAAAATTAAGGCATATTGTTTATTATTAGAGATGATATTCACATCAGTCAGAGATTTTCTGGGTCTGGCCATGGTAAAATGGTTTGGAGGTGGGAAATCATCACATGTTTAGATCTGTTCTTGAAGAGGAATGAGAGAAAAAAAGTTCTGCGGAGGTCTGGAAGCAAAGTTTGAAGCTGAGAGAGTACTCGGAAGGCCAGAAGTCAAGGTCTGGACTTTGAGGTTTAAAGTGACTTTTTCGTGTGGGTGCAAAGGTGCTTCTTGGAGTTCGATAGCAGTGAAGTTACCCACATGGACGCAGCTCCTGTGGCCAGCAGAAAGGCAATTCCATTTTACAGAGTAACTGTTTTGGCTGTTTTAACCAGTACTGTTTAGAAATCTGCTTTCAAGATAGTTTTCATAGTTTTGTTCCTGCTGTGCTTAGCATCACACAGATTTATGGAAATCTTTGATTATGTTTAAAAACTGCATCTTCCAGGTGTTCTCGATTTTCTTTGAATGTAGAACCACTGAGTCTGTGTCTCTTCATTTCCTTTTTTCTTCGCTTGATTTTTAGCTAATCATGAAGTTACAATGATCAAATGTTGTATGTGACACTGAGTTGCAGAGCGCTCTCTAGCAGACATCACTACTTTCTGCATTTCAGACAGCAGAGGGCGGACAAAAGCGTGAAACAAGTGTCCCAGGTGGTCTGGTGGGGTGTTCTGAGGTTCTAAGCAGAAGTGAATTAAACCCCCCCCCAAGGTCACGTACCACACTTTAAAATCTCCTGGGTAACTTGGAATTCTGGATCACCCTTTTCAATGCAATATGTTACAAAACCTAAAAAAACCCTTTTAAATTATTTGCTTTTCCAAATGGTGAATGCATAGTGAGTTGAGAGCTGATGTCCAAGTCATCAAATTCTGAGTTCTAATTTGGTAATTTTAATACCTTAAAAAAAGTTCTACAAAGATTTTTTTTGTTTTCTTTCTAACACTTCATTTAAGGACTTCAGGATTTGCCTGAAATGAAATAATCCTATTGGATATGCATTAAGAAGCTGAATTTTTAAAAAAATTTGTTTCTAGAGGTTTGCTTTAATCTAACTTTGCATCAGATTCGGCATGGGTGCTTGAGGCTGAACAATGCAGATAGTTCTGAATTTAGTGAAGAGCTGTAGTCTTTCAGGTTGTTTTTTTAAAAAAAAAGGTGTGGAGACATTCCCAAACTGCGGTTGCTCGCTCTTCTGAGCCATCTTCTTCAACTCCTTGGTCAGACATGTCCCCTAGTTTTGTTCTGGAATTTGTGGCTGTGTTTGCCGCTTTGGCTGACTCCTGTGAGCTAGAGCTCTTAGAGGCGCAGGCATTGGTCGATTTCCACATTCTTTAATGGGAAGTACTGGTAAACCAGTTTGTATTAGTACCACTAAGTGTACTGAAAGGAGTAGTGTGTTTTATTTCACCTTCTGGTTTCTCAAAACTGAAGTGGACAAACACTTTTTGGTCTGCTCACAGGGGGCCAGAGTTAAAAACGTCGTAGCTGAAGTTACTATAAGGATGGTACTTGCACTTGTGCTGTTTCTAACGGTCTGACAATGGGTGAAGGAAGTGAAGATAGGGACACAAAGCTATGAAGAGACTGCCAAACATAGGGAATTCTAAATTTTACTGAGACATTGAAACATGAAATTGTGAAATTCCTCCCCCCCTGCTCCTTTCAAAGAAACATCTCAAGTTCTTGTATGAAGACATTATTTAAAAGTGCATATCGGTTTTCATTGTAGCTGGGGTTTTTGTCCTGACTTTTATATGTTGCAGAATCTCAGACTCCTGACAACGTTGTCTTTCTGTGCAATCATGAAGGAAGAAAAAGTTCTGCTTTAGGAATGTAAAAAATGTTAACTCAGTCTGAATACTTTTTTTTGATACCCTTAGTGCAGAATGTTTATATAAGAAAACTAACAAGTTTAATTTTTTAAAATCTTTTTATCTTTTGTCTTCTGAAATATTTCCAGAATTCAATGCAAGGACCCAGTTACTGATGCTTGAAAAATTCTTCAGGTTACAAACAGATAGGATCCAGTCATTTCTTCAAATGTCTGTTTATTTTCTATTCTATTTGTACTTTAAAAGTTAGATGTCTATGAAACACATTGTCATTATTTTTTATTTAAAAGCAATGTTGAACGTATGGTAACGTATTATATGTATGAACTGGTTTAAATGTCCAAGTTAGTGTAATGATCTCAGGCTGCATAACATAATAAAACAGCGACCTGAATAGCTCTTTTTTTTTTTTTTTTTAATATAGATAAAAAAATCACAGGCTTGTTCACAAAGTTGACCCTAATATTAAATGTGGACTTCTCTTATGGCAATGTATATTTGAGTTTAAAAATTCCGTTTAGTAAAAATAGTATTTTTGTATCAATTGAACTTTTTTTGTAGTAGGTAGGTTAAAGGCCAAGTTTAGTAATTGTACTCTTGAAAATCCTTTAGCAGAATGGTTTTGAGGTAATGTTCTTGCTGTTACTTAGTTTGCTTCATAGTCCCTGATTTTTGGGTTAAGAATCTGAGGCCAGTAATGTGAAAAATTGAATGAAAACCACTTTGAAATAAAAACGTGTTTTTGAAAAACCGAACAACAAACCATACAACACCCACAAACCCCCAGAATTTCTATGGTACAATACAGCGATCCTAATAAAACTTTTCTTAACATTTTTGAAGAAACTTAGCAGGTCGTGTAGAACACCACGTTCTAAATCTAGTCTGGATTACTGGTGTATGATGGAGCATTAAAATCTGTAAATTGTTTTATATGTGATTCTTCACTGATTGTATTTAAATATATTTTCCAGGATGTCAC